TGTAGCAGGCTTCAGTTTATTGTACTGGGCAGTGAAAAAACCACACTGCCCAGTACAATAAACAGCTTGTATCCTCTCAGGTATTTGTCGTGTATAATTTGCTTATAAAAGTTGGCTCTCTCTCAGTAAACTAAGATTACTTCAGTGTTTGTTTTCTGTGAATCAACTTTGTATTTTGTATAAATTAATGTTGATAAAGTTCTGATTGCAGTCTCGTGTTTGTGGTTTCAGGCTGAGGAAGCCAGAACACTGGAGGAGCGGCGTCGTGCTGAGGAGCTGGCCTCTCTGGTTTTGACAGAGTCTCAAAATGCAGCAGCAGCTGCAGCATCACCAGACGTGGAGGAGCTGGAGTCAGCAGAAAGCTTTGTGGAGGCATCAGCAGAGGAAGAGGAGGCGATGCGTCCGCACGAGGCATCGCAAGTGGAGGAAATTCTCCGACTAGAGCGGGAGATCCAGGTGCTGCAGAGACAGAAGGAGCGCCAGGAGCTCTCTTTGACCGAAGCCTCGCTGAACCGCCTGCAGCAGCTTCGCGATCAGGAACTCCGGCGGCTGGAGGATGAAGCCTGTAAGGCGGCGCAGCAGTTCCTGGACTCCCTGAACTTTGATGAGATTGATGAGTGTGTGAGGAACATTGAGAGCTCCTTGGGCGTGGGTGAAGAAGATGAGAAGAAGGAGGATGGCCAGAGGAGGGGTAACGAGGAAGAAGAGGTCGATGAAGGGTTCGGTGCTGATGACGATGCCTTCAAAGACTCGCCAAACCCAAGCGAGCACGGCCACTCGGACGGCCAGCGGACGAGCGGTATCCGAACGAGCGACGACTCATCCGAAGAAGACCCGTACGCCAACGATGCTGTGATTCCGTCGCTGCCGCCGACCACTGTGCTTCACCACTCTTTGCCGGCGATGCCTTCGGCCTGCCGTAGCGCATCATCCAGCGGGGATTCGGCTTACTGCCACCCCCAGGCTTCATCTGAGGCTCAATCTGATGAGCTGGTAGAGCTGATTCCTCCAGATGAGGATTCAGACTACGATCAGGATGACTACGATGAAGGCGCCATCGTGTCTAGTGGCAGCATGGCTTTCTCCAACCCTCGCAGTGGACAGTGGTCTCCGGATTACCGCGGATCTGTTGGCACCTACAACAGCTCGGGGGCTTACCGCTTTAGCTCAGAGGGGGCTCAGTCCTCGGTGAGCTGAATCCTCGTTTAACTTCTGTTTTCAATGACAGGGAGAACATTTCATGGCCGATTTTCTACTAAAACTTAGCTGCTCTAACTCCGAAGTAGTGTAGTCTTTGAAGTTAGCAAAAAAAACGCAGGCAGTGAGAGAGATCAATTAAATGCCATGACTTTAGCCATTTTACAACTCACATTGTACCTTTCCCTGTTATTATAAAACATTTTGTTGAAATAATATGCAAACTAACGTCTTGCATGTCTTGTTTAATTTCAAATTTTTGTTGATTTGCTCCAGTTTGAGGACAGCGAGGACGACTTTGAGAGGTTCGACACAGACGACGAGTTGTCTTATCGGCGGGACTCTGTGTACAGCTGTGTCACGCTGCCGTACTTCCACAGCTTCCTCTACATCAAAGGTTATTATTTTCTTATAGAACATACTCTTCTTTTAATTAGAGATGGCACGATACCACTTTTTTATGTCAGATACCGATATCATAAATTTGGATATCTGCCGATACCGATATGAATCCGATATAGTGTGTTTTTTAA